TGGCAGGCGCCTGTAGTCCCAGCTACTTGGGAGGCTGAGGCAGGAGACTTGCTTGAGCCCAGGATTTGGAGGTTGCTGTGAGCTGTGAGGCCGCAGCACTCTTCTGTAAAGGGCCACATAGTGAGGCTCTGTCTCAAAGAAATAAAATAAAATTTTATAGGGATATTAATTAACTTGATTTAATTGTTCCACATTTTATTCATAAATCATTTTGTACCCCTAACTATATACAAATATATTCAATTTACAGTTGAAAAGAATAATTATAAAAATAAGAATTATTCTTCTAAAAAATTTTTATGGGACCAGCATTTGATTGGCAAGGGGATGGGAGAGTAAACAAAAAAAAAGGCTCGTTAGCAGGCCATGAGGAAAAAGTTGAGAAACTGCTAAAATCAACAGACATTTTCATTCTTTTCATATTGCTTGACCGCTCGGTGCCATTTAACAGTTTTTGCTTCTCTATTCTGGAAATACACTAACATGTTCTAGTTCCTAAAACGCCCCCCCCCTCTTTTTTTGTTAGTCTGTTTTTAGGTCCACTTCCTTGATCCGCCTGCAATTCAAACGTTGCAGTTCCAGTTCCTTCCATAAGGCACTCTACATACTAAGCACATTCCTTCTTTTGTCTCAGTTCTCTTTATGGTTCCAATTTTCATTAACAAAAAATCTTGGTTATTTACAACTCCGCCTCCAACAATAGTTGATCTGTTTGGTAGGGGTTTTTTTTGTTTGTTTTACTTCAGTAGATTTAGAGGGTTCGAGTGGAGTTTTGTTATATGGATGTGTTATATAGTGGTGAGCTCTAGGCTTTAGGTTTACCCATCACTTGAATATTATACGTTGTACCAATAGGTAATTTTTTTTCTCCTTACCCATTCTGTGTCTGCGGTGTCTATGTGCCACTATGTATGACCATGCATACCCATAGCTTAGCTCCCACTTGTAAGTGAAAACATGTGGTAGTTGGTTTTTTATACCTGAGTGACTTGGTTTAGGATAATAGCCTCTAGTTCCATCCAAGTTACTGCAAAAGACATTATTTCATTCTTTTTTATGGCTGGGTAGTATTCCATGGTGTATATATACCACATCTGCTTTACCTAGTCCTCAAATGATATGCTGTTAGGTTGGTCTGTATGTTTGGATTGTGGGTTCAGATCTTTCTTTTTTATTTTTATTTATTTTATTTTATTGCTATCATTTTTTTGAGATGGAGTGCAGTGATGTCACCGCTCACAGCAACCTCATACTCTTGAGCTTAAGCTGTTCTCTTGCCTTAGCCTCCCAAGTAGCTGGGAATATAGGAGCCCACCACAATTCCCGGCTATTTGTTGTTGTTGTTGTTGTTGTTGTTATTTTTGGTTGGCAGGCCCGACTGGATGCAAACCTGCCAGCTTCAGTGTATGTGGCTGGCACTGTAGGCACTGAGCTACAGGCGCCAAGCCAAAAGAGCTAGATTCTTTTATTGTCTCCTCCTCTCACCTTGATAGAAGCCCTTCTACACCTCCATTCCATTATATATGAAAACAGTATGTATTTTTTTTAGACATTGTCTTACAAGGATTTGGGTTTTTTTGTTATTTTTTGAGATAAGGTCTCACTCTTGCCCAGGCTAGAGTACAGTGGCGTTGTCATAGCTCACTACAATCTCTATCTCCTGGGCTCAATCAGTCCTCCTGCTTTAGCCTCCCAAGTAGCAAAGACTACGCGCTCATGTTACCATGCCTGGCTGATTTTTTTTCTACTTTTTGTAGAGATGGGATCTCACTATATCGCTTAGGTTACCAAGGATATTTTGACTATTTTAATTACATGGCTTGTGAGTAATTCAAGATAAATATGCAATGTTTAGTAAAGAGGATTTATAAAGTATTTGATTTACAGTCAAATCTCTGATGGGACTACGTCTGAACCTAATTTCTCTATTGGCTAAAACAAGCTGGAAGAAATCTGTTGTATAGCTTTTCCATAAAATTTATTAAGGTAATGAAAGAAGTAACAGAGCCACTAAAGGGATGGTAAGTAGCTAAAGAAGCAGGCTAGTTTACACCCTCGTGTGGTATTACTTAACTATTACATGCACTAGGCCCTAGGTCAGAATAGGAAAAGGAGAAATAAGCTCTCTTTTCCTACTACAGAGAGTTAAGATGGGTTTAGAGCTAAGCACTATTGAGAACTACAAGTGTTGTGCTTTTATCTCAGCACTAAGGATAACAACAATAAATCCAGCAGGCTGGTTTTACTTACTGTATTCTTCTGAGACCTGAACTACTGCCAATAAAAACAACTTTAGTGGAAACTTTCCTGGAAAGAATTTTTCACTGGCTTAAAATGATGAGTAGAGATCTGGCCTTCAAG